ACCACGTTTTCCAGCAATTGCACAAGCATTATTTATTGTCAACTTTCTTATTGCAAATAGGTGATTCTTCATCAAAAAAATAAAACTTTAATTTTAGGAATAATGAATCTTTATGATCTTTTTTTTCACTTCTCTCGTAACTCTACCTCTTTTTGAAAGTCTTATGGAGTATCAAATTACCAACGGATCATTATCTGATTTATTTAGATCAAAGACAATAAATTCACCTTTTTGAAGATAACTATTAACAATCATAGAGATATTTTTCACATCTTCAGTATATTATCCAATGATCTTGGAAATATCTTAATAGGAACTGCCACCATTAAAGATTACTAGATGTGAAATATTTTCACGGATAATTATTGGTGTATGATGATAACATTGTATTACATATATGCTTGAAATGTTTCTATAACGCCTATGTGTAAAAAATGGAATGATTCGATTTTGGATGGATTTAGAAGCCACACATAAATCCTAAAAAATAATTGCTATATTTCTTTTAGGCGAAAATGCTCTTATACTGAGAATTTTTTTCAGATAAGATATATTTGAAAGTAATATTTTTATAGTAAGACGCTTTTGGGTCTTTTGAAATTATGCTATACATATGTCTTACAAATGCCCATTTTGGTTCATCAGAATGGTAACCGCAAACTATCAAATCATCACATGCAATATATTTAGATCTGCCTTTTTTACCTTTATATATACATTCAGATATATCACTAAGAAAAAGATTCGCCAAAATATTACTTTTACCTGTTTCACTTTCCCTATGTCTACCATACTGAAAGAGCAGTCAGGACTTGCTTCATAGCCTTTCGCTTATAATGAAGTATATTTAGTGACCTCATTTATATCTATAAGAAAAGTTTCATAAGGGTAGTTCTGTCTTTTGGTTCTTCTATATGACAGATTTGGAATCTATAATTCTGATTTCCTTTTTTTTTATATAATTCAAAAGATTTTTTTCTTTATTGAGAGGTGAAATAAAAGAATATAGATGAGAGAATATAGATCGCGAAAACTATATGATTAGTGATACTATTAAAAGAAAAATCGCAAGCTGAAAAAAAAAGGAATCAGATTTATTATCACTAAATAAAGTTTTGTCAGTTCTTGATGCAGTAATAGGTGTTACTAAAGTGATTTCAGGACTAGTATTACTGTTACCTTTCTCCAGTTTACTAACGTCTCCAGTTATCTCATTATGCTTAGAGTCATTAGATGTTTTTGAAATCTGCTCTACTAAATAAGCATTAGTTTCTTGAAGGAGAGAATCTTTCTCTATCAATATTTTTGTACTAAAAGTAAATTATCCCTCATTCATATTAATTCATCCTTTTTTTTGGTCAGTGCTTCTTCTAAATCTTCTTTTTCCAAATCTAAACCAATATTTTAATTAGATAGTTTCATGTATTTCAGTTCCAATTTATTCTTGAGTGAATTCATTTCCGATAACTCCTTCTGTGCTAAAATAATATCAATATCCTGTTCTAATTCCTCTACTTTTGATTGGAAAGCCTATATCTTTTCCAATTTTATAGTAACCCCACTCTTAACACTAATAAGAGAAATATCTTTCTGAGAAATCTGATTTTTGAGTTCTCTCACCTTATCTTCAAGCTGGCATACACGCTCTGAAAAGCTTTCATTATTTTTATTAAAAGATTGCATCTAGTACCAAGTTGATTACCTGAGCTTAAAGCAATATCTAGGTCACACTTCGTATAAGTAAGTTGATTCTCAAGTTCAATTCGGCTGAATGGATATTGATTAGATGATGATTTTCTAAGCTTATTATCAGATATCAGAGCTATCCCACTATTTATCTCATTCAGCATATGCACATTTGCCATATAAATTTATTTTTTTGAAAACAAAATATTTCATGATTTTTTTTCTTCGAATGTGAAGAAAGGGATTCAGAATCAAACCAATATCAAACCAATAAAAATCCAGTTTAAAACAAATATGATATTTGAAATGTATATATTGAACTCTTGATATAACGAATTCTAGGATCTGAATATCAACTTCGTTATAAGCTTATAATGAATTTTTTAAAGAATTTAATTGGCTAGTTCACTATAGTAAGGTAATTTTAATATATATGATTTTAAAATTTGTTATATCAAGGGTTCGTTATATCAAGGTTTGACTGTACATTTTAAATTTATTTTTATTTGGATCAAGCTTATAGCGAGCTACATGATAGAAGAAGCGAATTTTATATATATATCAAACCAATGCCAGACCAATATTAAATAAATTGTAAATAAATTTTCTACAAGTTTTTTATTAGTATTATACAAATTTATTACTAGCAAACTATGAGCAAAAAACAAGCAACCCATACTCGTAAATTTCTTAGATTAGATGCCCGACGCTTGTCATCTGAAGCTATCAAAGAAATTAGAAATGCTCAGAATAATATTCCAGATGCTCAGTTTATTATGTGTAAAAAACATTGTTTAGGATCAATAACATATCAAAAAATCATTGATAATTAAAGGCCTTCTGAATCAATTGAGAAATAGCATAGAATATTAGAATTTGTTAATATCTCTGATCAAATTTCAGAAGATAAACAGGAATCTTCACAGTCCAGAGACGTGAAATATGATACTTTTTCTTTTACTAACTTAGAAAAAGATGGGATCATTTATATGGATCATCCTGTGAGAATAATGCAAATTCTTATATAAATTCTAATAGTTTGATTACAGTAACTAGTAGGAAAAAAGATAAGGTTAGTTGGAAAAAAATGATTAATATAAAACTGAAAGGTGAATCTTCTCATTCAGTGACTTTAGTGGAAAAAAAATGAAAACATAGGTAGACAATATTTGCTAAAGCAATCTGATTCATCTAGACAGGAAGCTGAACTTAATAAATTAATAAATATTACTAGGACATTGTTACGCATCTGATCTTTTCTCTGTAAATTGAGAGTATCTTTTCGCAAGAATTTTACCTGCATTTAACACCATGTTAAGCCATTTCTCAGTTTTTAAGAGGTACTTTTTAAGCTTTTCACACATTTTTTAAGTCCTTCTCACTAGTTGGATCAAAAGAATTAACAAATACCTAAGGTGATGATTCATACTCCTCTTTTAGTGAATCATTTACTTCTGACGTCTTACTAAAAGTTAGAATAATATATGTCTTTTCATGATCCTCTATGCAAAACTGATTTTTAGTTAGATCAGGAATACCTTTAACTTTTCAAATTCCTGTTGTACTTAACTATAGCATTGACTTAGGCTCACCATTATCAACACAAGCATAATTTCTAACTATAGTGATGATTGAGTTTCCTTTCATATACTTTAAAGTAATCGCTACATTTGTATATCATCTTAGTGCTTCAGAGATATGTTCAGAATTACCTTTTACAGCGAACTTAGAAGGCTTATCAACTTTCCATCCAAGCGTTTCAGCAGTAACTAAATTAAATCCATCAAACTCACTTACATTATCTAAAAAAGATTCAGAGATATGTAAGTCATTTATATTAGCATTAAAGTATTGTAGGGACGAAAACACTCACCTTTTTTTGACTTCTCCTCCTGAGTCTTTTGAGATAGACACATTTTACGCATTACCGGCAAAAACTTTAGTAATAGCTGATTATATGGGTTAGTATGTATGAAAATCATACTACAGGACTATACAAATCATTGTACGTACTAATCTATATATTTTAGGCTGGCTAGTTACCAAAGGTATCCCATCATTCATCAGTCCTGTTTTTTTTTACTGATACATAATACCACACACTTTCTTCTAGATTATCATAACCATCTTCCTCATTATCTGAATCTGAAGGTATGTATTGGGACTTTGTATATAGAATTTGAGGATAGTAATATGTAATATTTAATTTAGCTACAGGATTTACTGAAGGTGCAAAAGCTAAGTTGGGATAATTATTTTTCTTATAACCTTCCTATTCATAATTGTTACAATAAAAAGGCTTTCAAGATTGTTCATTAAGTGATATCCTACTAAGCTTAAATGTTATTTGACCAATTTCATCTATTTTTGATTCTAATCTATTGATTCTAGATTATTGCAACTTTTCTGGCTTTTGCAGTTTAGGAGGTGGTCTATAAGCTTTTGCAACCTCTCTTATTATTTCTTCCTTAGTAAGTATATTGGAGAAAAGATTAGCACTTTTATATGTATCACAAATCTGTTCCATATTTTAGGATGAACTGGTAAAGGTATCTTTTTAGTTTGCTGGGCCATTTGTAATTGGTAATCAGTTTTTTGTTTTTCTAATAAAGACTGGTATTCAGTTTTTTGCTGTAACAATGCACCTTAGATCACTTTTTGCATATCTTTTAAAAAAATTCCTTGCTGTTGAGAAGGTGAAGATTTATATATTTACTGAGATACTCATTGAGATATTAGTGGATCAGCTATTCTATCTCTTTTATGTCTAGCTATTCAATGTAACTCTATTTTATAAAGCTTTTTGGATAATGCTTCTAATGTCAAATATTCACTGATATCTTCAGATTTTTCAAGCTATGGTAGTGGAAAAGCATCTAAGAACTTTCTACATAATTCTTCAGGTTTATAATTAGTTCGTCTACCTATTCATAATATTTTTCTATATAATTCATCTATAGTCATATTTCCCTTTGTGATCGTTCCATACATCATATCCTAAAGCTCTTTTTCTATTATAGAAAAATAAGTTTTTAGCTACCATACAGCTTGACCAAATTGAATACCAGTAATAACTACTATAATACCATTACCAGCATTTGGTAGATTAACAGGAGCATTAATAGGATGACTTCCTGCCACATGCCAGTCTTCATTCCAAGGACCTTCTACAATTCTTAATTTGACTATTGCATTTCTGGGTTATCTGGTAACCTCATTTAATCTATCAACACCTATCTGAAGAGCTATATGTTCATTTACTGTAACCAAATTAGCTTGTCTTATACTATCAGTTAGATTAGTTCACTCCTAATTTATCTTGTAGTAATCTCCTCATCAAACCATTCTAGGGTTCTTTCACTCATACATCCTCTTAAATACCCTATTACTACTTCTTTTCCAGTTGGTGGACTACCTGCATTATCTACTGAATTTACACCTTGATTTTGCAAGTATAATCTAAGTTTTGCAAGAAAATCTGAGATATCATCATCCCACTTAAAAAATGGTTGGAGAATTTCTACCATGTTTAGTTGATTAGGTAGATTATTCTGTAAGGCTAAAATTTATCCCTGCAAATTTAAAATATTCTGATACCTAATCATTAACTGAAAAAACAAACTTTTCATATAGTAACTTACCAATGCGAGTTTGTTTTCTTGCTATAATAACTATCATCCTATTTACCTAGTTTTGGGCATTGGTCTGCAACTGATAGGTATTTTTGCTGAAGACAGTTAGTATCTCGCTAATATATTAATTGAAAAGCAAAACTTTCTCATAATAACTCACCAATATGTGTTTACTTTCTTGCTATATTACCTATCATTCTATTCACCTGGTTTTGAGTATTAGTTTTATATTGCTAAAGATCACTAATAAATCTTTGTTCCACTCCTTCAACAAGATTTCTTCATATTATTTCATTATTCCTTTCGGTCTCTACATCATAACGCCTTCTCTGCTTTCAGATTAAATCCTATTGCAAACCATTAAATTTTCAACGAATTTATCTTGTTACCCTTTTTATTTGGTCTGATAAGATATCTATATGTATTGCCCTATTATTCACATAACCATTTATAGCATCTGCTAGCTCTATAATTGTGGCCATATTATTATCAGAATTATACAGGTCAGAAAAATTCCCTCATACTGATGAATTTTTCTTTAATAAGATAGTTCTGATTTGACATCACAATTTTTCTACCTGCTTCTTAGATTTTACTAACTGCTCTTCTAAACTAAAAATATATTTTCCTTTATCTTGCATATCTTTTCTAGCTTGATATAGCTGATCTTTTAGACTGGAGATTTCAGATCTTAGCTCTGCTATCTCTTCTTCTAAAGTATTCTCAAGATGCTCTATGTCTTTATTGAGATCTTAGATTTTCTACTCACATCAGCTATATTCACGCTCCAGTTGATTAAACCATTTCTCATTCGGGCAACTATTTTCTACCTCTGTCTATAATGCATCTCGAAGATGATAGTTATTCTTCTCCAACTCAGCTTTATATTCTTCATAGGTTCTTATCTGCCTTGGATGAGGTTTGTGAAATATCATTCTTTTTTTTTGTTATTATAAAAGAAATACAAAATGAAAGAACCCTTGATTTATATTAATCCTCAAAAAATGCATGATCTTAACTGAAATCTTACCTTACAGAAGCTGTATTATCAACCTGAAGGCCTTTACCAAAATATTAAGGGATTATGGGATTCATGTAAAAAACTGAACATACCATCCTATTTACTGATGTAAAAAAATGGCTTGATGCTCAAGCAATATGAGCGTGTGTCAGTTAAAAAGGGGAAATCCACCTTCTAATCAATTTTGAGATTTTAGATTCATGTGATATAAATTAATGATATGCTTATTTTTTACTTAATTTGGTAAGCCAATAAGCATAATAAATTTCTGAGATAATATCAAAAAACTGAAATATACATAATGTCAATCAATTAAAATTATTTGATAAGGAGATGAGTCACAAGAAAAAAACTTAAATCTGATTAGGTTAGCATTGATAAATAATTTATCCATCAAATTTCCCCCTTTTTAACTGACGCATAAGAAAAGTTATTTTTTTAATGCTGTTAATAATAAAAGAAGTGTTAAATTTATTAATTTTAAATTATTTTAATTATTTTTGCTATATTTTATAATTATTTTGAGCATTTTCATTATCTTTAAATAAAAATTAAAGAGAAAATGTAGCCAATTTGAGTTTCCATACAAACTCTATACATACTTTTATTTTTCTAAAGTAAATGTTTTTTTTTGTTTTATTTATTTATTTTTTTAATTTAATTAATCATTTTTTATTTCATTTTTTGTAAATTTTTTTCAAAGCTTTAGTTTGATGTTTTAGTAAATAGTAAGTTCAGGTATATAGATATTCTTTTGAATTTATTTTCTTACTTTATTAACTATTTCTTTTTTTCATCTTCAATTTTATATATTTAAAATTTTCATCGTTAATTTTTTTTTTGATTTTACTTCTTTATTTTTTTTTGATTTTATTTGAATAGTTTTTCAATTTAATTTACTTTTCAATTAATTTTTTGTTAAAATTTTTGTTCCTTTTTGGTTATTTAGCTTTAATAAATAATAGATTATATTTAATTATTAGCAATTACTTCCCCTACAAAATAAAGAAAAAAGAACAGAAAATAAAAAACCCCTTCAAAATCTCTTACCACCTTTAGGTTTATCCATTTCAAAGTCCAAGAGGCAGCTTTCACAAAATAAATAAAAAAGAATGTTAGTAACATTCTCTGAAATAAAAAATAATAAAGAATAAACTTATATTTATCTTGTTTGTTCAGGAATCGTTCATTTGGCTTTATCTGTTCGTTTAGATTCCATTTCTAAAAAAAGAGAAAGGAACGTTAATTATGTTTTCCAAAATAAAAAAAAATAACAGAAAAACAAAGAATGAACTTATCTGTTCACTCAGGGACCATTCGATCAGCTTCATCCATTCTGTTTCTATAAAAAAAGAGAAAGGAATGTTAATTACATTCTCTGAAATAAAAAAACAATAGAAAAACAAACTTACATAGTTTGCTTAGGGACCATTCTATCAGCTTCATCTGTTCATCTAGATTCTGTTTCTATAAAAAAAGAGAAAGGAACATTAATTACGTTTTCCAAAATAAAAAATTTCTAACTAATAAAAAAATTTAAAATGAACTAACTTCAATTACTTCAGGATCCATTTTTAAGTCTCAAGTTTATCTCTAAAAAAAATAGAAAGAACGTTAATTATGCTTTAAAAGAGTTTCAAAAATTCGAATTGTAAAAGTTTTACACTATTGTAAGTTTTTGAGAAAAATAAAAAAATTGCTTTTTTTTAAACTATTTAATTACTGTATTATACATTTATACTGTAAAATAATTAAATGAGTGGCTTTTCAACTCATCTATTATAGATCATTCCTATTTAAATCAATTTATACGAGCAATCTACACTTTTTAATGTTGTAATTTATTATATTTTTTCATTTTTCTCAAAATAATAAAATTATGGATTTCCCCTTTTTAACTGACGCACGCCTATATATTAAATCTTTTGTTCTTCACCTAAGCATATATCTTATGCTAACTATTCTAGAATCACAAAATTAAATATTATACATCAATGTGATTTGATTGAAATATCATATGATGATGTGAATATAGATTTATTAGGCGATAGTCTAATCTTTTACTATGTATTATTGGTTATATAGACTGTGCGACTAAGTATAAAGATTTCATTTTTTTAACGTCAAAAAGTAGTGAAAAGTTGTAGAAGCTTTTAAGAGTTTATATAATAATCCTGACAATTCTCTCAACTGGCCTCGAAAAATACAATGTGATCAAGGTTGCGAGTTTATGGAAAGCGTAATATTAATAATAGATGAACATAATGTTAATATTTAAAGGATTATAACACGTTTCAGATACACAAGCTTAGCTATAGTTGTTCATTATGTTGGATTATTTGAGTTTAGAATTTTAAAAATTAGTATTCAATAGAGTTTCTCCTACCTACTGGTGAACGTTATAGGGAATGTGAACGATTTGCAAGAAGAATTGTTGACAATATGAATGATACCCCAACTCAGTTAATTGAAATGAGTCCTAATAATACCACAAAACTTGAGTAGGTATATTCCAAGTCATCGGTAAAATATAATCATTTGATAGGTGTTAATGAACCACAGCTACTAAAAGGTACTACTATCTGATTTTTGCTTGCCTCTGAAAAGTGAAAAAATGATCCTTTTGAACAACACAGAATAGCAGATCTAATATGATCTCCCAGCTTATATAAAATTTGAAGAATTATTGTTAGAAAGAATCCTTTAATACCTGTTTTGTATTATTTAGACGAATTAGGACCTCAGCGTCTCTTTGTAAGAGAACAATTGATACATATTAAGAAAGAGCATATGTTGCCTTCTAGATGGGTATTGGGAGATAACTAAATGTGTATAAGGTACTCCTTATAAAAGTTTCTAATTCTACTACACAGTAAGGATTGTAATAAAGATTACTCCTTTTTCATAGCATAATACCATCTTTTTCCAATTACGCTGAATTTACAAATTATATTCATCTATCCTTCTGAATGAAAAAAAGACATGATTTGGTAATGTTGGTTACCATTATATTTGAAGGCTAAACCTAGTTCTTTATTGTATCCATCTAGGTGTAAACCTTCTAAAAATTTAGGTTTTAGAGTAAGAATTTTTTATTCAATAAATCTTCAAATATATACTGACATGTTCTTTCTGATACATTAGGGCAAATATTACACCATTTATGATTCTGTTTCATATTTTTATATGGTATCTCCCATTGATAGCCCTTTTTACATATCCATAAATAAATGTTAGAATTACTACTAAATTTAGCTAAGCATCTTCCTTCACATTTCTGGTATAGGTTAAGCTTTGGTATCAGTTCCGTTATGATATTGCATTTTATAGGCGCAGAAGAATCGATCTGAACATATATAAATCCAGATTGTTAGTTCAGAAGTAGAATTAAACTTAACTACTAATACTGTATAAGTAAAAAAGATAAATATCTCCAGTACTTTAGCAGAAGTGGGATCGGACTTCTGCCTTGCATCAATATCAAGAATTAGATGTAAAGGCAGGTTCCTATTGATGCATTCATGAGAATCAGGTAATCCATAAATCTCAAAAGGATAATCAATAGTTTTCAATAAATGTTAAAAATATGTATGATCATTATAGCCCAACTCAAAATCAAGGTCTGCTACATCTGAAAAGAGCCTTATTGCTTCATTTATTTCTTTAAGATTAGGTTCAAAAGTTTTTTTGTGTAAGTAACATGATAGGTATGTAGAGGAAGTTAATATAAAATTACATAATAAATCCCAAATCTTCAAAATAGAAATTTTGAGCGAATATGATTGTTAGCAAAATACTAGACCAGTAGTAGTATACAAAAGTAGTCAATATGGTAGTACTCATAAGTAATACCCAAAAGCAATTAGTGTAGTAATATCTTAAAGTATTCCAGAATAGTAACTATGTGAAAAAGGGTTCTAGGAATGTAAGGGTGAAAATAAAGTATAAATTTGGTAGTATCTATGAGTAGAATAATATATAGAAAATAAAATAGAAAATTATGCTTATAGATACTACTGGCAATAAGCAGAAAAGAGGTTGGAAAGACGGAAAGGTTCAGAAGGAAACACGAAAAAAAGGTATAAAAGCTGTAAATTCTGAGCCAATTCTGCACTTCGTGTCTCATCCTCAGCAATCAAACAGTGTGTGAATAGATTGCAACATATCTTTAGCAAATAGATAGATTGCAAATTCAGCACTTCATGCCTTATCTGGCAATCAAGAAATTGCAATTGAGAGGGAAGCAACTATATGAGGGTGTTCTGTCACCAGAATAGTATCATGTGACTATAACGCAGTAAGACTCAGTATTAATTTGCTTATTTTCAGCCAATACTATTTCATAAATTTGGTTAGAAGTTTGGATATAATAATTCAGCACCTAAGCTAGCATAAAACTGGTGAACTAATAGAATTTCTCTGACATCCTGCCAGTTTCATGACAATTCTCTACCAGTTTCATGATAGTTCTATAACACTATCATAGCATTATCATAGCGCTAAGCTGGATTCCCAAATCATATACCCAAAAGATCATCTGAAATTATGATATAATATCAGCCAAAATTAAACGCGAATTTACTATACCACCTGACATATTTTTTTATCACAATTTAGAATTTTAACAGGGAAACAAGCAGGTGCAAAAAAGAAGAATCCTCGATATCTTAATAGGCTACTAAATAGGTTTAGAAGCAGAAAAACAAATGAATAGCTCTTTAAAAACAAAAAGAGCACAAATCATTGTAAATACATGAATAGCTTCTTGATAATAAAAAGAGGACAGAGCA